TGTACTGTTCTAGCAAAACCTTCCCACTTTTATACTCCATTCCCCTGAAATAAAGTGCAACATTCCATTTGTCTTTCCTATTACCCGCCGAACTCAGATAATCTCCTGGGACTGTTCCAGAATGTGCAAAATTTGGAAGATGACAACCAACACATCCACCATTTCTAAGCTACTCTTTTAGCACTCTGGGATGTGGATTAATCAGGCTCTTGGGATTTACTGGCTAGCAGTCCCATTCATTTATTCAATATTCTTCATTTCACTAATCCTAATCTCCTTCAATTCATTCTTCCCAATAAACCCTAAGTTCCCAGCATTTCTGGGAAGTTCGTTGTGTCTTCTGAGAAGAAGAACTAAAGTAGTTGTTTAATTGCTCCGCCATATACTTGTTGTCCATTATTAATTCTCCCATTTCTGACTGTCTTCTTTTGTCTACATTAATGCTTTTCTTTCTCGAACCTTATCGGCTCCTGGAGAAGGGTTATACCCGAAACGTTGACTGCTTCTTTCCTCCAGATGCTGCCTGGCTTGCTGTGTTTTTCCTACCTCCTGTTTGTCTACCAGAAACTCTTACAGACTGGCGAGCTTTTATTTCCAAACGTTGTTGAATTCACATTTCACCATCTACCATGGTGGGTTTTGAAACCATGTCTCCAGAGCATGAGCCTGGGTTTCTAGTCCAGTGATGTTTCTACTGTTTGAATTGATATCAAATGATTTGTCCTATTCTTGAACTGAGTGGTTTGCTAGGCCATTTCAGATGACTGTAAAGAGTCAACACATCATTGTAGGTCTAGACTGGCCAGACTGGGTAAGAATAGCAGATTTTCTCTCCAAAGAAATTTATGACAATTCCCTACTGCTTTTATCCGCTCCAGATTAAATTCCACATGATCTGAAATGTTATTGAACTTGTGTCACTGGAGCACTTGGCCAGTCTTCTGGATTATTGGTTCGGTAACTTTTTCATGATGCTGTTGTCTGCAAAATGAAGACTCCTTCGTACCATAATCAAACACTGCTTTACTAAGGACAGTTACTCTTACCTCTTTGCTGATGTATATCTCTTCAGCCTATGTCTAGACAAAGGCTTAATGAAATATAAGGGCAACTTGTTCTGATGAAGCACTATGACAATGGCGAGAAGAATATTAGTGTGTACATGTTACTTATCGCACCATCAATGATTAAGTTCATTGCTTTATTGGTTATGAAGATGGTTTACTGATGCTTATGAAAGACAGTAATTAGTTTTGGGGGAGACCTATCCTGAATCTTTTGCATTCAACAAAAAGGACATACTTTCTTATTAGATTCAAGTGTCACAACCGTGCACAGGTGCATATGTCTTTTTTTACTTTATTCATTAACGGGATGTGGATGTTGCTGACTAGGAAGCATTTATTGTCCATTCCTAATTGCCCTGAGGGCAGTTCAGAGTCACTCACATTGTTGTGGGTCTGGAGTCACATGTAGGCTAGACCAGGTAAGGATGGCAGTTTCCTTCCCTAAAGGAAATTAGTGAACCAGATGGGTTTTTCCAACAACTGGCAATGGATTCATGGTCATCATTAGATTCTTAATTCCAGATATTTTTATTGACTTCAAATTCTACCATCTGCCATGGTTGGATTTGAACCCAGGTCCCTGGAAAATTATCCAGGTTTCTGGATTAACAGTCCAGCGATAATACCATTAGGCCATTGCCTCCCCCTTTGCTATTCCAGCCAATCTTAGCTGTGTCCCATGCAGTCAGACTGTTCTTAATATTATGTGGAGTGAACTGAATTGACTGGACAATTGCATCTATAAGGTGGATGGGAAGCGGGAATCAGGAGTGTAATGATTTTCTTTTTATCTAGATGTAATGCGGTGAAGCAAGTGGATTCCATTTACTTGAAGAGCAGGTTTATTTGAAGCTAAAACAATATTCACATTATAGTAGTCTCCAGACATAGTGTGTGTCTTCAATTCTACACTGCTGAAGTTAACTGAGTAAACGTTCATGATCAAAGCTTGTGTCAATACCTGGGGAAGATGCTGTATTTGTTACATGATTGAACTAGCAATCCAGATGCCTAGACTAATAACCCATTAGAATATGAACTCCAATCCAACTATGTGAATATAAAATCAGGTTATAAGAGTAGGAAATAAATTTTTGGCATCAATAAAAGTGAAACTGTTGGATTATCATTAGAGAACTGTAAATAGTTAGGTTTATTCAAGACAGAAATCTGTCATCTTTTCCCTGGGCTGACTTTTCTGATTCCACTTTCATGCTAACATGGTGAGACTTCTGAAATGGTTTATTTATATGAAAGCTGTTATTAGTGATAGTGAGGGACTGAGAATAAATGTCAACCTTCTCAACATTGGTGATATCTTGAATACATTCTTTTTAAGCCATTAACACACCGATAGTATACAAATCTGCAAAATTGGCTGGAAATTCCATCATGTGTCTGATTGACTTGATCAGAGGCCTGGGTTCTGCCTAGGTAGACTTCTTCTGGTCATTGCTGCACCCCATTTTGTACAGGGTCACTAAGCATTGAAACAAAACTAGAAACCCATTTCTTCTAGGTGCAAGCTACCTGCCATCCAAATGAGCCTCAACTGCATTGGCTTGCACTTAGTGTGCATCTTGTCACTGAACGTATTTCCACTTACCCGACACTGGGTCTCTTTGAAAAGCAGGGACATGACAATACCTGAGATAACAAGGTGTAGAGCTGGATGAACACAGCAGGCGAAGCAGCATCAGAGGAGCAGGAAAGCTTATGTTTCGGGCCTAGACCCTTCTTCAGAAAAAC